AAGTTTGAATCTCATGTCCCAAAGGTGGAGGTGGGGGGTAAAATTGCAGGTATCAGCCACAGTTCCCTGGGTTCCAGCACATGGTAAAGGAAAATCAACCAACAAGCTCTGAGTAGGCTATTGGACTTGTCTGGCTGTAACTGGCATTCTAGGCCCTTCACTGGGGCATTGGCAATCAATGCTGTCCACCAGTGTCTATTTCTGATGCAAGGCCCCATCTATTCTTCTAACAGCAGGCAAAGACTGTTCTTTTTGTCCTTTCAGCTACTGAACAGACAACTGGAGAAAGGAGCTAATGGGAGATGTGTATGCTTTACTATTTTCTCATGTATATTTGAAGTGTTCTAAATTGATTTTTTTAATGACTGAACATTTAATATTGTCATACATTTAATTTAATTTAGTATTTAATTGCATTTAATACTATAACTCATCATGTTTTTACTCACATCTTCATGTTCATCATTTTATGAACTGCCTTGGGTCCCCGCAACAGGAGAAAAGCAAGATGGAAATGAAATGAAACAAGTAAAATAAGATTCCTGAAACTGCTCCTTTGAGCCACCTCACAAATTCAAACCCTCCCATAAACTGGTGAACAGAGTGGCAACAACAACATCAGTAATGAAGGCCAGTGCCTTCAGGCAAGTTCAGATGTGGGCAGTCTCGCCATCCAGAACTTTGACCAAGAATCAAGCCACAGTTTGCCTCCAGAGCCAAGAATGCCAAACAAGGCCTCTTCAGCAGAAGGGTAGGGAATGCATTAAAAAGAAAGAAAGAAAAGAACAGAAGGTTGTAAGAAATGTGTGAAAGAATGTAACTAGGAGATTTTACACATATTCAATAGCAGGGGTCCCCAACCCCTGGTCCGCGGCACGGTGCCGGGCCATGGCAGGACCGGGCCATGGAGACAGATCTCCCGGCTCTCCCACACGCACTCCACCCATGCACCCCACCTGCATGCATGGCTCGCCATCTGTATGCATGGGTGTCCTTCCACCAGCGAGCACACCCCTCCCCTCCATGCGCGCATGCAAGTGTGTCCCTCCCCTCTGCAAACACACCCCGCCGCTTTGCACAGGCACGTGAGCACACTCCACACACCCATGCATGTGTGCGAGCACACCCCTCCTCTCCACGAGTGTGCTCTGCCCCTTCGTGCATACACATGAGTGCACTCTGCCCCTTTGTGCATGCTTGTGAGCACACTCCACCCACCGGCTCTCCACTCCACCCCACTAGCGTGGGGTTGCCCCACCCCCTGCACACAGATCCCACCCCCCAACCAGTCTGCAACTCAGAAAAGATTTGGGACCACTGTTCTATAGTGTTAATGACTGTTAAGATGGGATGAGGCAAAAACCAGATGTGCATCAAGAACACTTTGTCAGAACAGAATATTGCATATCATATGAGAGATCAGTTATGTTATACAATTAGAAAGAGAATGCATAAAAGGACAGGTTGCAAAATGTTAGACTGAAAACATTTAGCAGAGGAACACAGCAGTCCTTTTAAACCACAATAAAAACCATACTGGAGTGTGCTCTGCCCCTTCGTGCATACACACGAGTGCACTCTGCCCCTTTGCGCATGCTTGTGAGCGCACTCCACCCACCCGCTCTCCACTCCACCCCACTAGCGTAGGGTTGCCCCCCCCCCCGCACACAGATCCCACCCCCCCACCACTCCGCCACCCACAAAAGATTTG